ATTTTATTGTGCAGGTACATATATGTATAGCGGCCTTGTGGGCGCAGAGGTATGGTTAATAATTGTGGGGACATAGGTGAGTTGCATTCTATATTACGATCCGCAGCTAACAGAGTCTCCTTCAGAGTTATTATATTTTCCTGTCTAATTTATATTCTAGACAGATGCTGTATTTTATTTTAAATCCCTAGTAAATGCTCATGCACTTGTGACACCGGATTTTGGGATGATTATGGGTTGCACTATATTGGAATTGCTTTTAAAGATATTAGTACGTATTTTGTAAATGTCATCTTCTGCTATTTAATTGAGGGAAACAACTAGGACTTCAAAAATATTAAAATGATAATTTATTTAGTATTTATTGTTGGCTTGTTTGACAGTGGTGTGCGACGCCATCACGCCATCACCTACCACCCCCCGAATCCCCACCCTCGTGCTCCCACCACAACCTCACCCCTATAGGAGCAGAGGCGCAAGTCAAGGAATATGGGTGTTAACCGGACAGGCTGGTCCGGGTTAGACACAAAAAACATCAGCCTGCTCGGTTAGTGATCCGGGCTGGATAGTGGGGTGGTGAACCGGGCTGGTAATGTGTTGGGAAATTCCGGGTTAATTAGGGCTCGTCCGAGTTCGGACCAGGCTGGGTTAATTAATATTGTTTTTAGTATATTATATTTTTCTTATTCAATGTTATTGATACTTAAGTGTTTGCAAACTTTTAAGGCTTAGAATTAAACTTTAAACTTATAAACTTGAAATTAAATTTTAAAGTTTTAAATTTGAAATTAAATTTTAAAATTTTAAAATTGAAAGTCAGTGGATACAAAAAATTATTTAATAAGACCAATATGTAAAGATCAAACTCTGAAGGCTTTCGTTTTATATTTTCATTGAATAATAAATAAAACTTTAAATTAATTTGCAAGTTCTATTTTGATTTTTTTTATTTTTGAATTTGCAAATTAAAGTTTACAACAATTATAAAACAATAAGAAAGAGTACATAACATGCTTTGCATCATATTTGTAAGTTCATCCATGTCAACATGAGGTTCTTGGTTTCCGACATTGCTTGAATCAGGACCATCATTATATCTCCAATTTCTTGGTCCTCTGCTTCATCTACCTCTTCATGCCCTTAATTTTTCTGTTCTGATCTTATCCAATCTCTGAAGCATACTAGAATTTTTAAAGCGTTGTTGCCCAATAAATGACGGGTATCTCCTAGTTGCTGCCTTGCTTGGCTAAATGCGCTCTCTGATGCGACTGCTGAAATCAACACATTTAGCACGTCTCGAGCCATAGCCGAAAGAACAGAAAATTGATTTGAGTTGCTCCTCCACCAACCCAGCCATAGAAATTCCTTCATACGGAGCTCTGGTGATTTTTGCAATTAGAATTGGAGTTCATCAATATTCCTGCTACTGGTTTGTTAATGTACTCCTAGTGTAGACCAAATCAAATAATTTTCAACACCATCATTATCCTCCAAAGCACCAGATGCAGATGTTGAAACTGAACTTGAAGGAATATTTGCATCTCTAGCAGCAGAAGCATCAACAATGTTAGCATAATAGTTATCTAAAGTTTGTAAATATTTGTGTAGATCAGAAATACAAGTTTCAACATTAGGGGTTTCAGTTGGTCCAATATCCATATAAACATATAAAACAGTGATTAATTGGCGACAAGTGGCCATTTTGATATAAGGGTTTAAAATAGCACCAATTAGGTAAATAGAGGAAATTGGGTAGCATAGATTCAACAACAGAAGTATATTCTTCTTTCTTCTTCAAATTATGGAGTAAAAGAGAAATTTCAGCAATATGAACTAAACCATTAGCAATAGTAAGATAACAAGCTCCAGAAAACTTAAGTTCTAGATGTTAACAAACGGTTAGGATCGGTACAATGAGAATTAGCAACTATATGTATTTTATATTTATGACAACATTTTAAGAATAAATAAGTATAATTCCACCTAGTAACTATTTCTTCAGGCGTGAGTCTTGGTTTTAGTCCATACTGTACACATTTTTCCTTAAATGCATTTAATCAAGCACTTCTATTATTTTCTTGAATTACACCAACAACTCTTCTAACTAAAGTGATCTCATCTCTAAATAATTCAAAGCCACTCTTCACAACTAAATTATAAATATGACATGCACGCCTAACATGAAATATTTCAGGAAGTGGTGGGTGTAGATGCAATTTTAATATTGTAATAGCATAATTGTTGTTAGAAGCATTATCAAATGACATACACAAAACTTTTTCTGAAAGGTTGTAAAATATAGCAACTTCATAGATAGTATTACTTATAAATGCACTAGTATGACTTTGATCTTCGTCATATTTAAATGCAATAATATGTTTTTACATACAAAAAGTAACATCTATCCAATGTCATGTAACAGTCAAATAATCATTTCCATTTACAGCACGACCAATATCAGAAGTAAGAAAAACTCCACAAGAAAGATTGGCGAACAAATAACAAATATATGTTTGATATTGTCCAAAAAGCCGAAAGATAACAACTCTACACATACTTCTAGGAATACCTTTAAATAAAGGATTATAAATTCTTTGAATATAAGTAACAAAATATGGTGAAGCAGCAAAACTAAAAGGTAAACAACCTAAAACAATCATTTTAGCTAATTCTTCACGATCTTTCGCAATATCGTATTTATCCATTAAACTGGCAGTACCCGGGTTAAGTTTTTGTTGTCCATCTTCCTCATCAGCACTGCATGAAATAAGGTGGTTATCTATCATGTACCTACGAAGTTGACCCATTCCCCTTGCTTACCTTCAGTCTCATATTTATAAACTTCCTTACAAATTTGACATCTTATATAATTTTTATCTTTTTCTAGTCTTTCAAAAAAGTTTCTAACAATTACTTCTTAATCTTCGATTCCTCTTAATAGGGATGGGAGGCCTACCTGTATTAGCACGACCTCCACCCCTAGTATTTTGAGTTTGACTAGCATTACCAGTTGTAACTGGTGGTGTTCAAGATTATCACGTGATTGAATATCATCTAAATTATCATCTATACCATGATTTTCTTGACGTTGCTCATAATCTATATTTAAATTTTCATGTGAACTTTCAGAAATATGTGTAAAGCTACTAGAAGAACCAGCACCACCTCTTGATCTTTTAGGAGTTTTACTCTTACTACTACCACCCATATCAGTACACACTTTTTTGGTTGCTCTAAATATATCCATTATCTAAATTAAATTAAGAAATTAAATTAATAATTCTAAATAATAAAATAAAAATATACACCAAAGAAGAGAAAGAGATGGAACGAGTGTACCGGGATTCCGGATGCCGCACTAAATTTGATATCACACTTCAGTTGCTATTTGATGATATTGAATATTGATATCACACTTCACTTGAATACTTGATATTTGATCATTATAATTTTGTAGTGACTAACGTAAATATTTGATGAAACTTGAAATAATAAGTAATTGAAAATTTAAGAGCAATAAGCAATATTATCTAGAATTGAGAGAGAATTATAGTAGTAAGAGAGCATATTGTGAGAAAAAATAAAGAAGAAGGGGGGGCTATTTATAATTTTTAAAAGGTTAAAATTATAATTTATCAATTATTAGGGGTGGGGGCTATTTTCTTAAGGGGTAGGCCGAAATGGCCAAATTTGCAAAAAATGGTTGTTGCCCAACGATCATCTTTGAATTTGACCGTTGGCAACGGTCAAAAAATTTTAAAAATAATAAAATAAATTCCAACGGTAACCGGGATAGACCGAGTTGTAGCCCGGTAAAAGCTCGATAGTGGGTAACCGGGCTAACCAGGTTCCGGGTTACCAAAATATGTTCGTTCCCGTNGATTCGATCAAACCCTGTAGCTTTTATTCAAACTATATATTTTTGTGTTAAAACAATCATTAAATATATGTAAATATTAAATATAGTATATAGTTATTAGCATTTAAAGTCTATCTTTCAAAATTTCGAAACTCTTAAAGATTGAAATTTTTGTTCCACCCCTGCTCCCCAATAGTATATGCCTAGATTATATATTAATTAATAATACTCTTGCGACAATATATTATGCTTATTTCAAATATCATAAATAAGTAAGAAAACGATTTATTTTCAAGAAAGATATTTTCCTTCATCCCAAACACGCCCTAGTTTCAACTTCAATTTTGTGAAATCATCCTTTGTGGATTATTGCTTTATCGAAGCCTAACATTTTTGACGAATTATGTGAAGTGTTCTAACTTGTAAGTAATCCAGAAAACCAAGCTTTCGAATAGCTACGGGAATTGAATCAAATAGTTACATTGAAGTGTTAACATTTATAACTCGTATTATATTTTATAAACAAAACATGATCAACTGTTCAGTGTGGTCAAGAGAATAAGTTATTATCTCATTATATGATTTTGAACAACTCTCCCTATGACAACTTTTATCTTAGCTATATTTCCATATTTTGTGAGATTGTCAAAATAATTTGTTAATTACCGATAACTTAAAATGTAAATTTTTTATTGTTAGTTTGTTAAAAATTGTGTTAGTTTGTTAAAAATTATGTCTAGTTTTCTAAAACTAAAATGTCACGAGTCTACTTTAATTAGTACTTTGACCAGAACGTCAACTTTGTCGTGGATTTCGAATCAAATCTCATTACAATACAATAATATATTAAATTAAAGCACATGGCAAAGTATCTATCAATTGATATACTCCTATCAATTTATATATTGTGACGGCTTTATTGAAAGGGAAAAAAAAAGTACCTACTCCCAGTAAGATACATAAAATATTACTAAAAAAGGAGAAAACACTGTATATTTCAAAGATCAGAAATCGTCAATATCTGTGGGCACGTTATTTCTCCATTAAACGAAGCTCATTTCCCTTCACCCTCTTCTCTTCTTGCTTTACATGTCCTTTCCTATTAATGTGGAAATATCAACATACCAAAAACTAAATTGCAGAAAGCCAAATTCAAGATTTGAGTTCATCAAAGAGTTACCATGAAGTTTCCTTTTCCATTTACCAGTTGTTTTAGTTCCTCATCTGGTACAATGGATACCAGCCAAATTAACCCATATGGTACGTGACTTCTCAAATTCTTCTCCTGAACTTCTTATCATTTTTTATAGTCTTGATAATATTATTCCTGGAAGTCTTGGAGTAACAGTAAAACTGTATTCGTGTGATCTATAAATCACGGGTTTCGAGTTGTAGAAGCAGCCATTAATGTTTGCATTAGGGTAGCTTGTCTGCATCACATCCTTAGGGTGCGGCCATTACCCTACGCGTGCCTCTCTAATAAGAGAATATGATACCATCCCCACTTTTGGCGCACTTGTTTGATGAGGCTAAGTACAGATCTGCTACGAGCTCCCTGGCTAGCCATCCGTCTAATGAGCCAACTTCTTGACCGGGATATCTTATGTACCGGGCTGTCCTTTTTCCCTATAATTTTATTTCTACTACTTAAGGATATAAATTCTACCAACAGATGGACAAAGAGCTCAGAAGTTCTCAGTGTTCTCTTACAAGGAATTAAAGGCTGCAACTCATGGATTCAGAGCATCAAGTAGAATTGGAGAGGGAGGATTTGGTTCTGTTTACAAGGTGATTTTCTTATCCTAACAAGTTCATTTTGAGAGTTAGTGCTATTGAATTGAAACGGTTTTAAATGAAACGACATGAACAATGAGGATTCATATAGCCGACTCCAACTAGAGTAGTGGAGTTCGGGGAGAGGGGGGTGGCTATTTTTTTCGACTGCATTCGATGCTGATGATCATTTGGTTTTTTTTCTTGAAAAGGGTCGGCTTGAAGATGGAAGCAGTGTGGCTGTAAAGGTTCTATCAATTGAATTAGAAACAATGCGAGGTGAAAGGGAATTTATATCAGAAATAGCTGCATTGTCTGATATTAGACATGAAAATCTTGTCACCCTCAGAGGATATTGTGTGGATGGGACCGACAGACTCTTAGTCTATGAATACATGGAAAATAATAGTCTAACACAATCTCTTCTAGGTAAAATTTCTTTAAACAGTTTAAGTTATATATACCGTCAATGTAAAATATTTAATAGTGTAAAATTTGTTACGCTAATGGTATATATAATTTAAACGCATTCTTTAATATCTCTCTCATTAAATTTTGGAAGAGGCTATAACAACGAGATGGCTTAAATTAATTGTTTGACAAGCAGGGGAAGATCACAACAGAAGTAAATTTACATGGGAACTTAGGAGAGAAATTTCTAAAGGAATAGCAAAGGGACTTTCATATCTACATGAAGAAGTGACTCCCCACATTGTACATAGAGATATTAAGGCCAGCAATATACTTCTTGATCAGAATTTTACACCAAAAATTGCAGATTTTGGTTTATCTAGACTATTTCCTGAGAAAACTTCACACATTACTACCCGAGTTGCCGGAACATTGTAAGTTCAAACCACATTTTGCTCATTTTAGATTCTACATTGGAGTGTTTATTGCTGATCATGTTGTAAATTTCTTGACTTAATTACTTTATGCCTAAAGGGGATATCTTTCTCCGGAATACGCCATCAGTGGACATTTAACTCGGAAATCAGATGTTTATAGCTTTGGAGTCTTATTGCTAGAAATAGTCAGCGGTTGCCCTGTTATTGCTTTTGACATTGAGAGAGGAGAATATTTCCTAGTTAACAAGGTAATCATATTTAGCTACGTTTAATTTTTATACATCATCAGTGTTAAAGAATACTATACTATCAGGTCATGTAAAAGGTAATTACAAGCAATAAATGAAATTAGAACTTGAAAAATAATACAAGTAACTTTGTATAGCAATAATCTCACGGGTGTACTTATTTCAGGCATGGGAAATGTACAATACTGACAAATTATTAGAGCTAGTAGACCCTGTCTTAAATGGAGAATTTCATGGCGATGAAGCTATCCGATTCTTGAAGATTGGCCTACTTTGTGTGCAAGAAATCGCCAGCCTCCGCCCCAAAATGTCAGCAGTCATAAAGATGTTGAGCAGTACCAATTATATGGAATTAGAGGATGTAAAGATTACTCAACCTGGAATTCTTGCTGATCTGAAAGATGTTAAGATAGGTCAAAAGCAATGTTCTAACAGCTTTTTATCTAATGCTGTAGCTATGGCTAGAAAGTGTTGGTACAAAGTGTATATTTCAAACACACAAACTTGGCCAACATTTTTTGAGAAGATATAAATCAATGAGGCTTTTAAGAGACTTGACGTAACTAGTAAAGTTGTTGCTATGTGCAAGAGCGGTTCAATATAAGTGGGGCCTAAAGCGAAACTTTAAGAAAAGGCCTTAAATATTTTAAATAAATTTCATTTATATTTTATTTGTAAATTTTTTTTCTAGATTTTGAAATGAGTAATTAATATCTTATAATTGATTTCTTCAATAAATATTTTTTCAATGATAATAAAGCTAACCCATTTATTTTTCTTGAAATAATGTTGATCTTATATAAGATTTTGAATAGTTTCACTTTTGAAAAGAACACTCTCTTACTAATACTTTAATAAGAGTGCCTTTTTGAGATTGTGATTGTATTAAAGTTTCAAATTTTTTTTGAGTTTCTAACATGACTCATATTTTCTAGACAACAAGTTTTAAAGTACAGCCTGTTATAAACTAGGATGGAAGGAATATGCAATTCATATTAATAAATGTACTTTTTTGTTTGACACAATATAAAAATGCTTACGAAAAAAGAAAAGAAAAAGCATTAGTATGAATATGAATTAGGAAGATAAGATTAGAAGGGAACTTGTATTGCCAATAAATCAAATTTTTATATGCATTTCATTACAGTAAGCTTTCACTTGCTCTCATTTTCTTTGAGCTTTTTTTGGGGAGGGTCAACATGAATTATGAAGTTTACAAATTCTTTTTACCTTTTTTTCTCTAAAAATTTCAATATTTTCTAAATATTTTTAAACCATAAAGCTAACTATAAGAAATTTTGGGGCCCCTAGAATTTGGGGGCCTCAAGCCAATGCTTTACTTGCTTTGGCTTCAAACCGGCCCTCGTTATGTGACCAGGAGGTCACACGTTCGAGCCGTAGAAATAGCATCTTGCAGAAATACAGGATAAGGCTGTGTACAATACATCATTATGGTGTGGCCCTTTCACGTGACTCCACGCAAGAACTTAGTGCACCGAGCTCACTTTTCAGGCTACGAAGAGACTGAAATGAAAATGCTCTGAACAAATGTAGCTTAGAATAGGTCTTTCTTCCGACTTCTTTCTTTTTTAGCCTTTATTTGAATGTTTAGTTCCATAAGCTGCAGATATTATCCTTGGGTAACAAACAAGGATAACAATTTTTAGGATTTGAGGGGCCAAATAAATTTTGTCTTCGATTATAATTTTTTCTAACACTATTTAAATATTTTTAACTGTAAAACAGTTGTGATATTTAATGTTCTTCTTTATGGCGTCAGAAAAGATGTAAATATTATCTGAAGGCTTAATATATATTTCTTCCCCTCTCCATTAAAAACCGATCAAATTTGGTTTGGGTTTGGTTTTAATCGAAAAAATCGAATCAAACCGACTATAGAAGTAGCTATTTAAATTTATTATTATACCCATATATGTGTATATTTTTATATAAAGTTTCTAAAATTTTATGGTACATATTAGTTGTTTGTATTTTTAGTCTAGTTTTTTACTATTATAATAATCTAATTCTTTGCATTTACATTCTAGTTTGATTGGTAGTTTTCTTTTACTAAGTACAAGAATTTATTTCATGTTAAAAATAATCGATTTTTAATTGACTACTTAAATTATTCATCACTAGTATTTGATTCAATTATCATCAATATATCTTGATAAATGATAGATTTCTCAAAAAGCAATTAGTTTGATAGTGTTACGTTGAAAATGTAATCGCCGAAATATGTGTTTAGTAAGAAAAAAATCGATAAATAACCGAAAAACCGACAAAAAAACGACGAAAGCCAAATCGATAAAAACCGACTTAATTGGCTTGATTTGATTCCAATATTTGAAGAACCGACTTACTTGGTTTGGTTTGATTTTTTTTAGGGAAACAAATATCCAAACCGAACCATAAACGCCACTTTCATAAAATATGGGTCTGAGACCCTTACACAAGCGCGTGTAGAACAAGAAAACAGAAAGCACGTGAAAGGTTATTCTTGTCCAAACCCTCTTATTTATAGTAGAATACAAAGAAGCCCTTGCTCAATCCAGTATTATTATTGAATGAAGACAGAATAAGGAAATTTACAAGGGAAAGGAAACAAAAGTAGGAAATGCAACCAAACAAGAAGAAAAGCATTAAAATCACAATGTTTGGCACATTTAAAATTAAGTGCCAAACCACAAAGCACAATTTAAAGAGGCCATCTCCACCAATACCACTATACAATTTTGACCATTTAATATTCATTCCATCTCCTTAAATAGCTCTAACTGCTGAATCATATAATTAGGCATTGCTCCTGAATGAGCCAAGTGCTTTGACTGCTCCAGCTCTCAAAATATATTGGTGATATAATGCAGCAATTGCAGCACCAATTAAAGGTCCAACCCAGAAAATCCACTGTCATATTAAAAAGGCAATATTATAAGTTACCAATGTATATTTTGGATAAAAATAATAAAAACCAAAGGATGTGCAATTCCTTGTTAAAGTAAAATTATATTGCTTACTTGGTCATCCCAGGCTTTGTCTTTGCCATATATGACTGCAGCTCCAAAACTTCTAGCTGGATTAATACCAGTTCCAGTGATTGGGATTGTGGCCAAGTGAACCATGAATACAGCAAATCCAATTGGAAGTGGTGCCAATACCTTAATTCAATTACAAATATTGACTTCTTCAACTCAAGTTACCAAAAAGAAGCATTAAAAATAGGATTTAACTTGCATACATTGACCATGTAAATAACTGTCAATGTAATTTAACCTGTTGTAACAAATTGTCTGTCTTATTCTTTAAAAAAATAATTGGCTCCACTTATTACGAGCAATAGAAGGAGGCCTTGGCATAACTGGTAAAGTTGTTGTCATATGACTAGAAGGTCACGGGTTCAAGCAGTAGAAATAGTCTTTTGCAGAAATGCAGGGTTCAAACAGTAGAAACAGTCTTTTGCAGAAATACAGGGTAAGGTTGCGTACAATAGACCCTTGTAGTCCGACCCTTCCCCGCACCCCGCGCATAGCGGAGCTTAGTGCATCAGGCTGCCTTTTTTTTGAATTACGAGCAGTCACGGGCGGCCCTTCCCTAAAGCAGTACCTGCTTTAGGCCCCATATTTATGAGGGGCCCATTTTTTTTACAACTAATCGGCTATATATAAGTTTAAAAAAATATTTTGTCAGGTGAAAATGCTTGATTTCTTTCTTTAACAAATATAGAGAAGAAAGATTTGTAACTGCTATGATTTCTACGATTTAAAATGAATATCGAACCCGAATTTCGTAAGAAACTTATGGTATATTGGAAGAAACAATTTGACGAGAATATTGATAATGAAATCTCAAAATCACTCTAAGAATCCTTTAGAGTTGATTACCTTTTATACAAGGCTATTTTTGTTTTTACTTCAAAAGAGATTTGAACAATTCGAAGCACATGAAAATATTTTTAGTTTTCTATTTAGCGGTAAAAAACTGAGATCACTAGATGAAAATTTGATAAAAACATGCCTTGCACACAACTTTGTTAAATCTGATCCTATCTAGTAGTTGACATCCCCAACTACATAGTCCATTATCTACACGAAATGATATTAGATACAAGCACTAAACAGACATGGGTACAAGTAGAAGTTTTTCAAAAGTAAAATTGATAAAATCTTATCTAAGATCAATGTCTCAAGAGAGGTTAAATGAATTAGCTATATTGTCAATTGAGAAATATTTATTTAAAAAAATTGATTATAAGAAAATTATTAATAACTTTGTATCTAAAAAAAATAGCTAGAAAGTAGACTTTAAATTAAAAAATATTTTTGGTAAAAAAGTTGCCCCTCGTAAAGTTTGGCTTTAGGCCACAAAATTCATCGGGTCGCCCCTGCGAGCAGTCACTTATAATTATCTTTTAGATGATCAGATAGTATAAAAATTTCTTTACGCCCATGTATATAAGTTAATTCAAGAAACTATAGGCAAAATGTTAAGTAGATTAGTAGATGTAGTGTTGCAAAATTTTACTTACAGGAACATGGGAGTCTCTGGCATTTCTCTTGGGGTCAGTGGCAGAGAAGACAGTATAAACAAGGACAAAAGTGCCAATGATTTCAGCAGCTAATCCAGTGCCAGTGCTGTAGCCTGTTGCAAGCTCATTGGCACCACCACCATATCTAACATAATAAGACTTCTGAAATGCCTTCACCAAACCACAACCACAAATGGCTCCTAAGCACTGTGCTATCATATACATTACTGCTCTGGCCAATGAGATTTTTCTAGCCAAGAACAGCCCAAATGTCACAGCTGGGTTAATATGTCCTCCTGCATACACAAAATGAAAACCCCCCATCAATCTCTTGAACTGAACCTTTTCCAAAACCATTTTTTGTTAAAGTATTATTGAAGACATAATTAAGTAAATAAAAATATTTAATCCATGAAAACTTAAGTTGTTACATTAGATCGTCAATCAATTCAACGTAGTTCGGGGCAGGTAAGACCTCTTAGATTCAAGTCTCACCGCCACTTACAAAGGCAGATGCAGAATACTAGTACCAGGTTCATCTGATGAAGCATAAATTTAAGTGTAAATATACACTAAAATTATAATAAATACTAGTAGATATAAACTCATAACTTTGAAAATTCAATGGGTTTAATGCTAAAAATTTTAAAGGTTAGGACCTATAAAGCTTAAACCAACCATATCAAAAAGATTTTTCATGTATTTGACCCATGAAAAAGAATCGGACATACACATGAAAAGGCATGTTAAAGACAAAATTAAGCAAATAGGAAGTGTAATGTATATAGCCGCTATTTTAGATGAGACAGTAACAGAAATTACGTACCAGAAATACCAGCAGTGCAGTAAACAAGAACGAAAATCATGCCACCAAAGGCCCAAGCAATGCCAAGAATGCCAACACCACCACATTCATCACCATTATGTTTAGTGTCACTTTGGCTCTTGTAGCCAATCACAGTGAGGACAGTGATGTAGAGAAATAAGAGAGTGGCAATAAATTCAGCAATAATGGCTCTATAA